GTTTTAGGACGAAGAAAAAAAGGGGAAGTGAGAAGAAAGTTTTAGGACAGAGGGAGTAGATAACATATATATTGTATATTGATTAGATAAAATAATATTTTGAAAATATTTGATATAATAAGTCAAAGAAAACTATTTTTGTATCTATATCTAATATCATTTTTATTTAATTAAAGGTCAAAGTTTACCAATTTTGATCGGAAAAAGTCAAAAGTAGACAAATACTCAAAGACGGAGGAAGTATAATAACTATTACCTTTCAAGTGTACTAACTGTTAACTTTTCAAACTCCTCTTGGGCTATTTTAGACTTCTCTTGTGCTGCCTGGAGAGTCTAATGACATATACAAGTAAAAAATTATTGTGCTTCCCATATGTGACGAGACATAATCAATGTGGATGAAATTAGATTTTGAATAACTCAACCTGGATCTGGTATAATTTTTATTGGTTATGGGATTTTAGCTATCGTTGTTGTTGTTATTGTTGATGTTCAAGCATTACATAAAAATTTTGTTTTGCAAGTTTTGAAATTAAAGGGTGAATACACTGAATTAACATTTTTTTATGGCTCTAAAGTCTCAAATGCTACAGAAAGCAGTCCCATTATTTTAAAGGGTTTTTTTCCCGGTGTTTGGTTTTAGAAGGTTATGTTTGATAATTTAAGGAACAACCTTGGGACTGCTTTCTGTAGCATTTGAGAGCCGTAAAACAATGCTAATTCAATGTATTCACTCTTCAATTTCAAAATCTGCAAAACAAAAATTTATGTAATACTTCAACAACAACAATAATAGGTAAAATCCCACAGCAAAAAAAACCTGATCCAGATTGAATTTCACAGAACCTAATTTCATTTACATTTTTTCTTTCTCGTCACATGTGGGAAACACAATATTTTAAACTTGTACAAATGTCATTAGACTTTCCAGGCAGCATATGAGTAGTCTGAAATAAGACTAGAGGAGTTTGAAAAGTTAACAGTTAGTATACTTGAAAAGAAGCTAGGATGACTAGAGGGTACCTTTAGTTATCACAAAAGTAAGGGTACCCGGCATCAATTTTCTGAAAATAAGATGACTCCTGAATGATAATGATGTGATATGATGAAGTGATTTGTCCGTATGATGTTGTATGATTGCATGATGTTGTTTGATCATGTGTAAGTGTAGAATCTGTAAGTTGATTCGAGCGTTAGATATATTCTCACTCTACTTTCAACTGAGCGTGTAGTCTTTGTATTCTTTGGATGCATGCATGTATGAATGAGGGATTGAAGCTTAGTGATGCTCGGCGAAATGGATGACCCGCTTGAAGCTGTTATAATCAAAATTATTGATTTTGCAGAAATCATAATTAGGTATCAAGAATATTTTGGTGATGTTGTTTAAAAGGGCTTCTGTAACGTTTGGTTTGTTTACTTTGATCAAATGTGTTTATTCTAATTTCTTACGAATTGATATTTTACCTTAAATGTTTTAAATACTATACTGTCATGTAAATATCATTTAGTGGCGGTCCGACTCGCTAACTCATTGATTTTGGTTACGCAGGTTGGGGTGTTACATACCAGGTGGAAGGATAACACTTTCCAACTTCTCCATTCTTTGCCCCTTTCCGAGCTGTCCCCTTTTCTACCAAACAAGAGAGCATTAAAGCATAATTAATTCAAGAAGCAAGTCTAATTATATGGGATGAAGTGTGCATGATGAATAAATTTACTTTTGAAGCAATGGATCGTACATTGAAAGATATCATGAGATGCTCTCACAATAATTCTAGAAGTAAACTAGTTGAGAGGAAACAGTTATAGCCAGAAGTGACTTTCGTCAAATACTTTTAGTTATACCAAGAGCTTCTAGAAAACAAATTGTAGTGCTATTGTCAATTCATCAAACTTGTCGCCATATTGTAGAATTTTACGCTAAGCGAGAACACGAGACTTCATTCATCCACACACGTCCTCGCACTCAGAGCTAGATACAAGAAATTTTTTACTAGTTATTCAAAATCAGAAATGAAGAGTTTGGTATGGTTAATGATGGAGTTGGTGATGTTGAAATCCATCCGAATTCTTGATTCTTTACTCACATTTACCTCGAAAGAGTATAATAAAATTCATTTATCCGAATACATTGGAGAATATGAAGAATTATACTTCCTCACTTTCAAATTAAGTTACCTTTTTACTATTCACAAGATTAAATTTCATACACTTTATTAGTCATGTCACCATTAGTTGTGTAGATTTTTTGATCTAGTTTTTAAATATATAATTTTTTTTAATTCCACATCACTTTTCATATAAAATAATTTAAAAATAATTGCAGTCAAATATCGTAAATCGAAACATACCATTTCAATTAGGATGGAGGGAGTACTTTCTTTGAGAATATAACACACTATTAACACCCACTCTGAAAGTTGGCGAATTGGTAAAAGAATCTGTCATGTTCCTTATCATTGACGATGAAAAGAAATAAAGAAAACCCCCTAAATAGGAGTAAAACATATATCATATCCTCAAAATAGGAGTTTAAATTTAAACTCCTCTAAGTATGAGTAATTAATTAAAATTTGTTTTGATTTACTCTTCGCACAAACCATACCACATTTCAGCCCTATGCGGTCGAAAAAGTCACCCGGTCCCTTTCCAATCCCATCCTTCTACGATCTTCTTCGTTCTAATCTCAGTTGCTGACGCTGTCAACTTAATCTCAATTCTCTCTCCGTCGCTACCATCTCCTCTATGCGGCAATGATTCCACGACACTCTCCATCATCTTCTTTTCTCTCATACACACAATCTCCTTCCACCCCTCTCAACCATTTTCATTTTTCATCGCTTGGATGCCTCCGTCGCCTTGGGTAAGTTTGAATTCAATTTGATATTTAATTTGACATAAGTAGTTAAATTCAATTTTAAATCTAAAAATTTACTCCTTTAGGAATTATTTTGTAAAATTCGTACTAATTCTTTTAGCCTTGCGTGAGTTTGAAACTTTAGATCAATTTTGTATTTAATTTCACATAGGTTGTGACATTTGATTTTAAACCTGAATTTATTTCTTAGAAAATTATTTTGTAAAACGTATATTCAACAATATTGAAACTAAATGATTATTGTGTTGCAAATAGAGTTTCTTGATGTTTAACTTTTTGAGATTTTGCATTAACATATGTGTTATATATAAAATTTTACATTGGCATATTTGTCATTATACATTGCCAAGTGTGACACTATATATTGTCATATTTGACATTATCTCTTGGTTTAGCATTATGCATTTGCATGTATGACTTTATACAATGACATGATTGCCATTATGCGGTTATGTGTGACGTTAAATGTGATCTTGTTTGACACTGTATAGACATTTTACTGTAGCAATTTACCGAGTTTCTATTTATTGCTTCAGAATTTTGACATATATCTACAAGGTATGAATCAGGTCTCATATATTTATTGATTAAGAATTTTTGCATTAAGTGTGATCGTGTTTGACACTCTATGGGCCTGAGGCAACATTTAAAGGTGATGTTTATCAAGTTTTTTTCTCTTCTAAAGAATGTCAAATCAAAATAATGTCCTATTTTATTTTCTGACTCGAAAATATAAACTATTTGTAAAGTCAAAAGGCGGCTAACAACATATAATTTGTTAAGTTTAGACTTTGGTGTAAAAAATTATGAGCGAAATAGATGTTGCAGTTCAATAAATAAATATAAATGTTTTAAAATATAATAATAATAAATAATTAATTTTCTTAATCTATTCTAATTCCTACCCATAACTCAATGCCAAGGCCCAGCCCCCCCCCCAGTGTATAAATACCTGCGCATGCAAGAAAAGAAAAAAAACAAAATAAGGGAGAAGAGAGCGTGAGAAGAGAGATACTGCTAATTGAGGACAAAAATTAAGTAACTATTCCTATTTAGAGGGGTTTAAGTTTAAGCTTCTACTTTAAAAATATAACATAACTTTTACTCCTAGTTTGGTGGTCCTTCTCCCAATGAAATACAAAGGTTTAGATACTATTCTGTGTCTATAATATTTATAAAAGTAAAATTAAAAGTCAAGATTTTAATGTTGGGGTCAATCAAGCATAATCCTTACTCCTTCAATGTACTCCCTCCGTCCCCTATTTGATTACAATTTGTTTCTCTTCTCTCGATAATTTTTGTTTGTTTATGCGATTTCATTAATTATTTTATAAAATAAAATATTCTTGTCACCTCTTGTTTTGTATAACTTTTGACGTAATTTTTTAATATGTAATTTTTATTTCTTATTAATATATCGATATATAAATAAAATAATTTAAAAAGTGAGATATTTCTTCTTGTAATCTCAATTTTTTATCAAATTGGGGACAGAGCGATTATGTATTTTTGTGTATTTGTATTTGGGTGTGCACATGGGTCCCCTAACTAATTTTGATGTCATCAACGCCCACTACCGGCAGTCGTCTAAATGGGATGGCTTCGAAATTGTCTTTAGCAAGTGTCACAGAATATTCTCTCTCTCTCTCTCCTTTCGGCGATAAGGTTCTTGAGAGTTGTGACGCCATTGCTCCTATAAATTAACGGCTCAAATGAGAGGTTGAAGAAGAGAGGCCACTGCTTTCTTCCTCTCTCTGTTTCCAATTTCTTCTCTGTACTCTCCCTGAGAAGAGCCGCCTACCCGAAGTCTCTACCATGATTGGGCCTTCTCCCTCCAACCTCAAATTCGTCTGTAGCTACGGCGGCAAGATTCTTCCTCGTCCCACTGACGGAAAGCTCCGCTACTATGGCGGCGAGACCCGTGTTCTGTCTGTCGATCGATTCATCCCCTTTTCCGGTGAGTTCTCTCCGGCCCAGTCACTTTCCCTTTTTTATATTCGGATGAAATTGTGTGAGACTTCCTTGCACATGTTCATGGAATCTATGTTTCTGTGTTGAGCTGATTAAGGGTTTGATTTCATGATGAATTGCCCGGATCTTACTAGTGCCCACCACCTGTTTGTGTTAATTCCTCTTTCAAGATTTCTTGGAGATGCTCATTTTTAGATGTTCCCATCAGTTGCCTTGGAAGATAGATTTGTCTGTGCTCTTAGAAGAGCCCACTTATAAGTTATGCCCATCAATTGTTTGTATAAATTCCTCTAACAAGATGGGTTTGATTCAACTATTTGAAAAGCTCAATTCTTTGTTGTGCCCACCACTTCTTTGTGTAAAATCCTCTTACCCTATGAATGTACCCTTCGAAAATCCTGATTTTTAGGTGTGCCTATAACCTGTTTGTGTAAATTCATCAATCAAAGATATATGTGGGGTCTCCCCCCCCCCCCCCCCCCCCACACCCCACCCTCCTTTTGTAGCTATGAAATAACTCAGAATTGAAATGGTGTTTGTGGTGGTGGCAGAGCTGTTGGTGAAGCTGGGAGAAATGTATGGCTCACCAGTGAGTCTCAGGTGTCAGCTGCCAACCGAAGACTTAGACGCCTTGGTTTCCATAACTTCCGATGAGGATCTTGCCAATCTCATTGAGGAACACGACCGATGCAGCCCATTGTCGCTCAAGATTAGAGCTTTCCTCTCGCCACCCAAACCGACCAAAAAGTACCCGCGCCCGGTCTCAACTGCTTCCTCATCCACCACAGATGATTCTTTGTCCCCTAAGGTGTCTTACACCTCCCCCAGACACCTATCACCTCGATGTGGTGGCTTGAAGTATGCCAACCAGATATCTGCGTCTCCTTGTTATGGCGGAAGACCTCCTCAGTGTGGCCACCACTTTGCTGCCGGAAACAATGGCCATGTTCATTTGATCCACCATGGCAATCATTGGCAATAAGCCTAGCGTTTATATAATGTACGAGTATATTGAAGAAACCTGGAGTTGAATTTAGTATTATGGATCTTTCAAGTATATGATGATGGATGGTCCCTTGCAAGCTAAGGCTCTTTTATAATGTCCTTGCAAGCTGATTTGTAAATAACTTCTACTTGGGTATTAGATTTCCAATCAATTTTTTGTATTAATCAAGTTAAAGCATTGTCTGAAATTATATATGATTATCCTTTAGACATATTCCCTCCGTCTCTAAATAGATTACAAATTGCGGGTTACGAAGTAAAATTTCTACTTTTTGAAATCATTTTATTTACAAATTGGTATATCAATAAGATATAAAAATTACATATTAAAATACTACTCCCTCTGTCCGGAAATGTTCTTCCCGTGTTGACTTGGCACGCTTATTTAGGAATAGTAAAAAAAATGAAAAAATTTCAAAAATGCACATACTATAAACTTTTAAATCTCCTTTTATTATTAAAAAAGTATTAAAAAAGTAAATTTGTGATAAAATAGAAGGATATTATTGATATTTAGTCTTAAAAAGCATACTAAAAAAGGAAATGGAAAGATTATTTCTGGACGGACCAAAAATGAGAATGGGAAGAATATTTCCGGACGGAGGGAGTACGTCAAAAGTTTTGCAAAACAAGAGGTGACAAAAATACTTTATTTTATTAAATACTTAATGAAACCGCATAAACAAATAAAAATTATCGAGAGGAGAGAGAAAAAAAATTGTAATCTATTTAGGGACGGAGGGAGTATTTTTTTTCTTTGCCCTCAAAATGAATGAAGTTTATATTTTGACTTTACAAACTTTATTAAGTATTAAAAATTGAAAACTAGTAATATACTCCCTCCGTCCCCCATAGATATTCTCAATAGCCCTTTTTCTTTGTCCACAATAGATCTTCTCATTTCATTTTTTAACAATTAAAATACCACAACTACCCACACTTACTTTATTTATTACACCTCACCCACCTCATTTAATATGCTCCACCCATTTTCATTAAGGGTATTATGGTAAACTTTCACCTTTTTTCAACTCTCCTTAAAAACCACCAAAAGTCAAAATGAGAACATCTTAGGGGGGCGGAGGGAGTAGTTAATATTGAGTTTGGTCCATGAAGTGCACTCGTGAATCAATTTGGTATATGTATGTTGTATGGAGTCAAATTAGTGTCTATGTCTAAAAATGTGAATCAAGTTACTTCATCCAACGGACTCATTTGATTGAATGCAGCAAATTGATTCCCGAGACCATAATGAAATCAGAGCATGTACAATGGCAAGGCAAAAAAAATTGCCACACGATGACATGGAACTCTTCAACCAATCAAAAATAGTCTAGTCAGCGTGTGGCAAGGGAGAGGAGTGACATTCCATGCAGTGGCAAGTCAATGTTTTCTCACTTTTTATACTTTTTTTTGATATATTTTAACTATAAAAAAATATTTTTATTTATCTTTTTTTTATAAAAATAGATGTACTTCTTATAAAAAAATCCTCTTTATTGTACAAAAAAGAAAGAAATAAAAACAAATTTAAAAAAAAAATGGGAAAAAGGTGCCTTGCTCATGACTCTCAAACCATGGAGGAATGAGGATGCCATGCAAGGCATTATGAGAAAATGGGCCGAGGTGGCAGGGCGTGGGAGGCAATGCCTCGCCACTGCCTTTGCTCAATGAATATTAAATCATACTCCCTCCATCCCTAAATATTTGTCACACTTCTATTATTGAGGTAAAATATCAAGTTTTTTTCAATTGATTTTATTTACATATTGGTATAGAAATAAAAAAATAAAATTTACATATAAAAAAACTACATAAAAAGTTATTTGAAATAAGAGGTGTCAAGAATATTTTATTTTATCAAATAACCAATGGAAACGTAGAAATAAACAAAAATTCATGTGACTGCTGAAAAAGCAAATGTGACAAATATTTAGGAAAGGAGTGAGTAAATAAAAAGTGTGAAATTTGTTGGTATGAGTTAGTTAGAGTGTGAAAAGTGAAAAACATTGATGCCTTTTTCTTACTCCTTTCATTTCTCACCCTCCAAGTGATTCATACTAATAAATTCTAGTGAAATTTTGCACTGAATAGGACTAAAACATAAATGATTTTCTAATGTATAGTAGGAGTTAAACTTTTTTATTCCTTAAATAGGACTTAATAATGACTAGTGAGAAGAATAATGTCCAAGTGATGCTGGACATTTAGGGGCTGTTTGTTTCAGCCTCTTAATGGTTCAGATGTCTGAATGGTTCAGCACTTAATGGTTCAGACTGTTTGTTTCAGCCTCTTAATGGTTCAGATGTCTGAATGGCTCAGACATTTGCCTCTGAATGATTAAGTATTATACAGAGTCTAAATGGTTAAGACCTCTTATCTGAATTGATCAGACATTTGCCTCTGAATAGTTAAGCAATATACTAGTTCTTAATGGTTCAGACCTCTTACTGGTTCAGCACTTAATGGTTCAGACCTCTTACTGGTTCAGCACCTACCTATTCAGAAGTTGTCAAACAGCCCCTTAGTTGAATAATGACTAATAGATATTGACTAATGGTCCTACATTGGGAAATAGAAACGTATGGTCCTATATTGAGAAAAATCATTATGTTTTAGTCTTATTTAGGTAAATTACCCATTTAATATAAGACAGGGAGAGTATAAATTATAATACTTCATTCATCCTAAAATATTCGTCTAGTTTAACATTTTTGAATCGAGTGAACAAACAGTAATCATTATATACAATAAATTTGTGTTACATATTAATCCAATGAAATAAATTTTTTAAAATTCCTACAAGACAAATCTATTGAAAATATTTTGTACTAATAGACAATATAGTTTATGTTTAATTCATGATCAAAGTTTGTCTAGTGTGATTCAAAAAAAATTAAACTACACAAACACTCTACGACAAAGCTAGTACTACTCAATATTGGGTTTATATGAAAGGTGTTTTTAAGAGGTGTGTGTTAATATATTATTTGAACAAAATTGAGTTTCAAGTAAAAAATTAAAGCTAAGAAACGTTTTGTAGTAGAAAGATTAAAATATTTAAAAAAAATGTGTCATTTCGTACGATAGCGGAATTGAAACAAATGTGAAGACGTGAAGGTTCAGTGAGATCCGATAAAATCCCAATATAGACTCAAAGACTAAGGGGCTGTTTGTTTCAGCCTCTTAATGGTTCAGATGTCTGAATGGTTCAGCACTTAATGATTCAGAATGTTTGTTTCAGTCTCTTAATGGTTCAGATGTCTGAATGGCTCAGACATTTGCCTCTGAATGATTAAGTATTATACAGAGTCTGAATGGTTAAGACCTCTTATCTGAATTGATCAGACATTTGCCTCTGAATAGTTAAGCAATATACTAGCTCTTAATGGTTCAGACCTCTTACTGGTTCAGCACTTAATGGTTCAGACCTCTTACTGATTCAGCACTTATCGATTCAGAAGTTGCCAAACAGCCCCTAAGAAGGTTAATTGGAACTGAAGGAGGTGGAGGTGTATTCGGGTCAAGGCGGGGTGGGAGGTTTATTGGGTCTAGAGAGGGTAAGAAACGTCAATTTTACAAACAAGGCAGTGAAGCACCCCCGGGTCATCCCATGACATGGGGTTCTAATGTCACGGGAATCCTACCGTAATAATTTATAAACTTATATCCAATATTGAATTCAAAATATATATAAATTTTTAAAAGCTATGCGTTGTTACAAATCTAGCTACTTTTTTATGCTCCTTATATCTTAAAATATTTAATCTTTCTCTTTAATTTCATCCTTCCCAAAAAATCTTTCCAAGTGTTTAAGGGGGCAGCGCCCCCTTGACGGGCATTCGGAGGCACGCCCCCGAGCAGGGTTCAAGGGGCGGCGGCTCCTGCAGGGTCCAGGGGGCAGAGCCCCTGGTTGTGATCAAAAAAATTTTATTTTCATTAAAGTGTTGTGTTAAAAATTTACTTGAATTTTTTTATTTCAGAATTTTGGTAAAAGAATTTTTTAGAAAAAACGTCTTCTAAACTTTTGCGTGACTAGACGCAAATTTAGAAAAGAGACGCGACATCATCTCATCCTTCCTTCCGCATCTATAAGAATCTGGGAAAAGCCTTGGTCGATAAACAGGACTTCATAAGTTCATCTCAATGCATACTTGTTCTTGTCAACTATTTGAATTTTATCCGATTAATTTCTGAATTGAACTGCTAGAATAATCAATCTGAAAGTGCTACACGACTCTCATATTAATTCGTGTGTTGTATTCAATTTCCCCAATAGATCTTTGCTTCAGAGTTTTCAATCTGCTTTGTATTTCCTATATTCCTCGTACTAATAACATACTCCGTAATTACTCCATGTGTTGGATAAACGAGGAGTCTCTCAACCGGGTGTTTTGTTAGATACTCCTCCGGACATTGTGTTTGTTGATTAATTTATTTCTAGATGGGTGGGCTGTCAAAAAAAAAATTTATTAACTAATAATCTACCTATCACATTCTACTTTTACTCATTACATCATGAGTATTTTTGTAAAGTTAACACAAAGATCTCCCTTCATTAAACCTATTAGAAGTCAAAACAAGAAATGTTTTGAAGGACGCAGGGAGTACAATATATTTTAGGTTTCTTGACTTGGGTCAAAGTGATTATAAGCCTATAAGATAACTCAAAACTCTTTCATCTTTTAAGTTTTAACGTAGACTATAAAGTTCAGAGTAGTGATAGAATTTAGGATGAGAAAAAAATTATTGGATTAGGTCATAAGACACTTGGGCTGAACAACTTTAAAAGATTGAATTCAATCGAATACATTGTTCAAGTCAAGAGCTTATATAACGATATGTTTTCTCATCAAGTTCTGATGTGGGATACTATAACACTACCTTGAAGTAGACAATCGGGTCATTTTGAATCTAACTGATTGACCAGTTGCAAATGAATTCTCATCCCCCTAAATGTTTTTTGAGCGACGACACCTGAAAGACCACAAGCCATTGGGTATGGACTTCCAGACGAGCGATTGAGTTAAACGGGCCATAGGAGATTAGGTATACATTCCACACGGAGAACTGGGCTAAAGACTGGGGCCACTAGGAATGAACGTCTAGATGAACACCTTGAAAGACGAGGTGGGCTAAAGTTGGCTCCGATACCATGATAGAATTTAGGATGGGTTAAGGTG